TTTAGAAATTGAACACTAGAGGGGACTAAAGATTCCAGGCAGAAAGGGAAAAGGAGGGGTGGGGGGAGTGAAAAGCATGTCTCTTGTCTTTGGTTAGCATTGGATCTTGCAAAATGACAGAAAACACTATGACATTTGAAAAAAATTGAACTGAGATCAAATCCTATGACAGCATCTGAATGAACTGAAGATTAAGATTGTTAGAAGCAAAAGGAAGGAGTATAAAGTTGGTTTGTTTGTTCAAGGTTAAAATGAGATATGCTTGTAAAAATCTGGAATCCCTTTATGGACTTTTTGCTGACACCAGGACTGAAATGTTAATGATTTATGGATTTGCATATCAATAAAGGATGGGTTATGGGAAGAAGAGATACTTGCATGTAACGTTATAAGGGGTGATATATTATCAAGTATGTTTGTACTTGTGATGAAGATTGGAAATAATCTTTAAATATTTCTTTTCTCTTTCTCTTATTCTTTTCTTTTTCTTTCTGTACACCTTTTATTCTTTTTTCTTTACTTTCTCCTTTTTCTGAGTTTAGTTTGTATTTTCTTTTATTATTGTTATTAAAACTTCCAATAAAAATAATTAAAAAAGAAAAATAAAAAGGACTGAAGAGAGTACTGAACTCTGTGGAACCCCACCTAGCAGGGGTCAAAATATATGGCTGTTTAAGTCGCTGAGGAGACTCTGGGCAGCAAACACAGTTAAAAACAACAGTATAATAATAATAAAAGATAGAAACAGAAACAAAACATAAGCAAGAAATTAAAAACAATTGTAACCATCAGGAAAGACCTTCTTTCCTATATCACCCTGCTGTTTCATCCTCCACAGTGATGAGCTGTGAGTGACTCAGTTGCAGCATTCTCCTCCCACTCCCCTTCCATCTCAGCTTCCAGGTTTCTCCAGGGTAAGGAGAGTACCAGATTTCAGATTAGGTTTAGGAGAAAGAACACTGTGATTGCCAAGGCACCTTCTAACCACTCCCCAGATGCACAATGCTTGAAGTAAAACTGTTCCATTCAAATCTTTGAATGGGCATTTCCTCTTGAATTCACATAGAGGAGGAGAATAGTCATAGAATGCACCAATTG